TCTTTCTTTCTTTCTTTCTTTCTTTCTTTCTTTCTTTCTTTCTTTCTTTCTTTCTTTCTTTCTCTCTTTTTGAGACGGAAACTACATTGAGGTCAGGCTGGCACTGAACTCACGGTGATCCTCCGGCCTCATCCTCCCGAGTGCTGGGATTACAGGTTTGCACCACCATGCCCAGCTTCTTTCCTCTTTTTGAGACAGGGTCTCCTTAAATTTCTAAATTGCCAGATGGGGCTCACATGTGCCATGGGCCTGTACCCCAGCACTCAGGAGGCTTAAGGCAGGACGATGGTCACGAGTTCAAGCCAGCCGAGGCTGCATAGTTCAAACCCAGCCTGATTTGCATAGTGAGACCCTGTCTCAAAAACAACAAAAGAAGCACTTTTGACCCTTCTTCCTCAGTCTCTCTGAGTGCTGGAATTACACATGTGCACCTCTACACCCAGCTAGAACTATATAAAATTCACCAACTCTTCAGTTTTGAGTGTGTGTCGGGACTCACAGATGCTCTCTGAAAGCTTGGAGGGAACACGGCTGGCGTCCCAGCTGCGTCCCTTTCTTGCCGAGGGCCCGAGCAGAGCCTTGACCTTGCCGAGCCTCCGATTCTCCATCTGTAAAGTGGGCGCAGCACCATCTCCTTGAGAGAAACAAGGATGCGGCGTGGAAGGCTCACTGCACCCACACGGCACGGGGGAGCCCGGGTAGTGCCAGCCTTGCCCATGCCTCAGAGCAGCCCGGAGAGCGTGTGACTCGTGACCAGGGACGCGGGCTGCCCGTGTGGCTGCAGTCGCTGAGCTGTTGGATTTCAAAATGCCTGTTAGTTTCCTGTGCGTTTTCTTCCATGCAGGGGACAGGGAGCCCTGGCGGCTTTACAAAGCAAACTGTCATCCTTACTCCCCGTGCAGAGTGAGGTCACAGAACCGCAGCACCTACTGCTGTGGCTGCTGCTGCTTTAGATGGGGGTGGGGGGGGGAGTGACGCCCTGCTGCTGCTCTGAGCCGGCTGGAGCGCCCGCCCGCAGCGCTGCTTCCGTCCAGCAGAGGGCGGCAGAGCTGCCACCCGGGGACCGCCGAGCCCTGCGTTGGAGGCCTGGGTCAGTCGCGCTTCGCTGCCCAGGTCGCCCCCCCGCTGCCCTCCTCTCCAGATTAGATTTATGACAGAATCTGAAAATCAGCTGGGGCCCTTTGGGGAGGATTCGAGGGCTGGGAAGGAAAGCAGTTTGTCACCGAGCCCTGGCTTTGGCTGTGGCAGCCAACAACAGTGCCTTCCCAGAAGCCGGCGCCCAGGTGGCCAGCGCGGTGTCCGGCCTCGGCCCTGCTGGTCCCTGCCACAGTGGCCACTCGCAGAGGACGTGAGTCGCTGCCACTGCCTTCGCCTGGCCACAGCTGGCCTTGCGGGCCAGGAGGAGGGCCCAGCGCGGGCCTTGCCTGTCACCCAGGTTCCCTGCATGTGTGGCCCTGTGCTGTCGCCAGGCTTGTGCAGGGCCCGGGTGATATCTGGGATCCACTTCCGTGAAAAGATTGCTTGCTGCTCACCTGAGGGCCAGGGTTATCTAGGTGTCCTGTGTTGTGGCCTAAAACGGGCCGCTCTAGTCTTTTTAAAATTTTTATTTATTTATTTATTTATTTATTTATTTATTTATTTATTGGCAGAACCGGGGATTGAACTCAGACCCTTGAGCTTGCCAGGGAAATGCTTATTCCACTGAGCCATCTAAAATTTTTATTTTAAAAAGGAGAAGAGTAAAACAACGTTTCAAAACAGGAGGCTGGGGAGATAGCTCAGTGGAATAAGTGCTCGCCTGGCAAGCGCAGGGTCCTGAGTTCATTCCCTGGTACCACAAAAAAAAAGATAATGGGAGGGTGCCAATAGCTAGTAGTTGTGTATGCCTGGGAGTGAACGCAGAACCTTGTGCTTGCCAGGCAGGTGCTTAAACTACTGAGCTGTCTCCCCAGCCCACATACTACCTTTAAATTAGTTATTCAGAGTACAAGATGTCAGCATTTAATTGTCCGAACAATATGAGCATAAACAGTGCAGCGCTAGGATTACAGTCTCAGTGGGGGCAGGGCCGGTGCGGCATGCCGGAGATTGAGCCCTCGTCCCTGTGCCTGCCTGAGCAGGCACCTGAGTCCACTGAGCTATCTGGCCAGCCCTGGAAAGCTTCTTAACCTCTCAGAGCCTTAAGTTTCCTGGACAGTAAGTGGGTTAGCTACGAGTCGGGCAGAACTTGGGAGGCTGAGACAGGAGGATTGCCGGAGCTCCAGGCCGGTCTGTGGTACATAGCAAATTCAAAGCCAGGCTGAACTACATAATGAGATACTGTGTCCAAAAAGAAAAAAAAAAAGCAAACCCCAGTAAGATCAGCCTTACTGGGCAAAATTAAATGGCACCCTCAGTACCCGGTGGAGCCTGGCATCTGGCAGAAGGAGTACCCTTGCTGCCCCTGGTGCTTGAGCAGCTGATGCGCTCTCCGTTCCAGGTACATTGTCACAGGTGACGTGAAGGGCAACATCAAGTTCTACAACCACAACCTATCCATCGCTAGCTGGTACAGCCACCTCAAGCTGAGCTGCATAAGGACCCTGTCCTTTTCACCGAGCGCCGCAAGCTCTTCCGAGGGAGCAAACTTCCCCCCGGACTGTACTCTGAAAGGTGGCCTTTTTATCGTCAGGTAGGTTGTTGATGGATCTGGGGGCCTGCGAGGTGGGAGACTTGCCGTGTGGTCTTTTGTAAGCACAGAGCTGGCTGCCCCTCTGGTCCCCAGGGTACGGGATGGAGGGCCTGGCCTGCCTCGCCCTTTGCCAGGCTTGCAGATAGCAGCCATGGCCCATTGCGACCACTGCGGAATTCGTTGTTAAATGAGCTATAGAAATTTTTTTTAATGTTAAGAAGCTGGGTGGCTGGAAGCTGGGGGACCTGTGCCCCGGAGCTCTGGTTTCTCAGCCCTGGCTGACGGTGGCTTTCTCTCTTGGCCCAGCTCGTCCTAGCCCACCCTAGCCTCGGAGGTTAAAGGCACCGGGCAATTAATAGCCCTAACGTTTCCAGACCAAATTATCTGAGTCTGCTTAATTACCCTTGTAGTCTTTCCGGGCACATCTGTATATGTGCACCCAACTCCGTATTTGCATACACAAATGAATATTTGCATGTGCAGATTAGCTAATTGTACAAGCGACTGTCCATCTGCATACTTAATGACTTCATTTCCATGTTGAAAAGTGGGCTTTTTTTCACTTGCAAATGGAGGCCGTTGGCTATTGGTGGTGTATTTTCGGAGCCGTTGGGTTAATAATGTCACTAAATTACAGACGACAGAGGCGTTTTATGTGCAATTAGGAGCAGAATAGCTGGTGTGCTCCCTTCCCTGAAAACACTCATCCTGTTTGGTGTCTCCTTGGCAAACAGGAATTTCATCATTGCCACGTCCGATGCCACAGTGTACCACTTAACAGTAGATGGCACCAGGCTCGAGAAGTTGTTCGTGGAGCCCCGGGATGCCGTGTGCGCCATCTCTTGCCACCCGTACCAGCCGCTGCTGGCCGTGGGCAGTGCCTGCGGGCTGATCAAGGTGTGGCATTATGAGCAGAAGAGGTACCTGCTCAGCAGGGTCTTCAAGAAGGGGGTCGGCGTGCAGAGCCTGACCTACAACCCCGAAGGTAACTTCCCGCCCCCGCCGCTGGCAGGCTCCGCGGTGCTGGAAGTTGCCTGGAACCCTGCCCGATGGAGGGACCCACCGCAGGAGCTGGGGAGGAAGCCCTGTCCTGGGCCCGCACCCTGGGGCCCAGTCCCACCCCAGAGGGCCCTGCGGTTACGCCTCGCCGTCTCGACCAGGATACTCGGGGACTCGCTGTTCATCTTGATGGCTGAAGTCCTCCATCCAGCCTTCCCGGGCTCATTTCAGGGGCCCTGCTGGGAGCCGGCTTCACAGAGGGGACAGTGTACATTCTTGACGCGATGTCTCTGCAGAATGAGACCCCGGAGCCTTTCAAGTACTCCAGAAACAGTGTGACGCATGTCAGCTTCTCCCACGACTCCCAGCACATGGCTACAGCCGTAAGTCCTAGCGCTGGCCACACTGGTTAAACCTCTGCCAAGCTTTATTCCAGAGGGGCTCAGTCATTGGCAGCTGCCCTCCTCATGGCGGCCAGCGTGTCGCACAGCTCCTCACGCTTCCTCTTGGCGTGGATGTGCGTTCCCTCCCTTTTCTTGATGACCTTGAGGGCACATTTGTCCTTGGAGACCTTGAGCCACTTGCTTGTAGCGGGTGAAGCCACACACCTCTGGGATCGTGTCTTGCACAAATTTGGTGTGTTTGGTGAGGTGTCCCTGATGGCGGCTGTGCCTCGGTTTGCTCACATGCTTAGTCACCTTGTGGCTCTTGTTGAGGCCCACGGCCACGGGATTGCGGGGGGCCGTGGCTGCTCTTCTTCCACAGCTGCTGTAGTGGAAGCACACTGGTAGCTTTGACACGGGAGGAGAGGGCCGAGGAAATGGGGTGAAAGTGGTGAGCCTGTGATGACGTAGCTGCAGTGTGTTCTGTCAGGTGCACCTCGGTAGCTGGGGGATGTGCAGGTAGGAGAACGTTTGCCTCTGGACACGGGCGGGCCTTCACACTGAACTCCATCTCTAGTCCTTTTATAAGTTTTTATTTTGACACAGGGCCACTATGAGATCCTCCTGCCTCAGCCTCCCAGTGCTGGATCATAGGCTATCCCTCTCATTTTTGACAACATGACATTCTTACTGATTCAGTGTTGGGATTCTACTCCCCCACCTGTGAATGGGGCCTGGGATGTCAGGGAAAAGGGTCCCTGCCCTTTGACCTCACCCTGCACCCCAGCTGTATGCCTTTCTGCTATGACCCTGTAGTACCACTTTCTGGTTTAAACCCATAGCTTGACCTGCCACAGGCAGCCTCAGCCCTTCAGGCTGCTTATTCCTTCTCTGGCTGTGGTGGACCTTTGTCATTTGATGTGACAAACAAGGGGACAGAGGTGAAGTGAGCCCGGCTCTTGGTTTTCCATAGAGAACAAGGTGGAAACTGGGAGAGAAGTCAGACCATTATGTCAGGGCCACACTGTCCTTGGAACCTTAATTTCTCATCTGTCCAATGGGCACTTTTCCCCTACTTGTTCTTGTAGATGTACTTTTTTTTTTTTTTAAATAAAACATTTGCAAGAATAAAATCGGCATGATTTCCAAGTGCTCCTGAGCAGAAAGTCACGGCTGCCATCTTGTTCTTGGTCAGGACGTGAGCTTCACCGTGGCTGTGTACACCATGGTGGTCCGTGGCGGACACAGGCTCTGGGAGTACCTGGCCAGGCTCCGCTCGCATCGCCAGAGCATCCGCAGCCTCCTGTTTGGGGTTTACCTGGACAGCAACGAGCCACGACTGCTGAGCCTCGGCAGAGACAGGCTCCTGGTGAGCCGTGTTCTCTCCTGTCCCTTCCGTCTCTGTCCCCACCCTGACCTGTGCCCCGCAACAAATCCATCTTCAAAGCGCCCCCCTCCCCTCTCATGTGAGGGCCTCTCTGGAGAGCTGACCCTGTCCCCTGGCTCAGGATTGAGGCTGTCGCCCAGGAGCTGAGCTCGGGCTCACGGCTATGGCCCGGCCACTCTGCAGATAGAGTACAACCTGAGAAGGAGCTACAAGGACCACCTGGAGGTCCTGGGCATCCACCGCACCGACCAGGGCCACCACCCGACCTGCATGGTGTGGTACCCGCCGCTCACCAAGGAGCTCTTCCTGCTCGTCTGCAACAGCGGCTACAAGGTGAAGCTCTTCAACTCCACCACCAAGATGTGCAGGTGAGGCTGGCTGGGCTGTGACAGCGACGGCCAGGAGGGCCGCAGGGCCTGTGGGACGGGGCGCGGGGGACAGCTGGGGGCGCCTATGGCTCTGAGGGCCAGGGCACCCCTGTGTCACTTTTCCTTAACTGTTCTTTTCCAAAAGGCACTCAGCAGAGTGAGTAATGGCTGCCATGCTGTTCAGCAGCAAGAGCGATTCAGCACCAGTGCTTAAAAAACTGTTAAAGCAGACTGGACAGGGTGGCTGACACCTGTAATCCCAGCACTGAGGGAGGCTGAGGCAGGAGGATTGAAAGTTCAAGTACCACCTGGGCCACTCAGAGACCCTATCTCAAAATTTAAGAAGGGGGCAGGCACTGGGTTTCGTCCCTAATACCACAAAAAGTAAATAAGTAAAAAGTACAACAAACTCTCAAGAAAAATGTGTAAGAAAGAGTTGTAAGAAGATTTAGAACTTTGACGCATTTTATTTTTTTGAGACAGGGTCTCCTACACAGCCCAGGCTGGCCTTGAGCTCACTTTGTAGCCCAGGCTGGTCTCAAACTCACAATGATCCTCCTGCCTCAGTGTTCGCAGTGCTGGGATTACAGATGTGCGCCACCATGCCCGGCATTGTTGTTGATGGACACACCTTTTGCTTTGTTTTGCTTCAAATTTTTGAGACAGGGTGTTATTATATATGTAGTTCGGCCTGGTTTTGAATTCCTAGCAATCCTTCTGCCTCAGCTTCCTGGGTGCTGGGATTATTTTGGACATAAACATTTTGAGTATCTCATAACTCTTCCCAATCCTGAAAAACTCAGGAGATTTGTGACTCAGGAGAATAGGGACAGCACACTTTATGCTGGTGGTTATTTTTTGAGTCAGGGTCTCCCTTAGGAACTGGTGATCCTCCTGCCTCAGCCTCCACATCACACCTCACTAGCTTCTTTTTTTTTGGGGGGGGGCGGGACTGGGGATTGAACTCAGGCCTTTGAGTTTGCCAGGGAAGCGCTTCGTCTATTGAGTCATCTCCCCGGCCTCTACTAGCTTCTTTCTTTCTTTCTTTCTTTCTTTCTTTCTTTCTTTCTTTCTTCCTTCCTTCCTTCCTTCCTTCCTTCCTTCCTTCCTTCCTTCCT